ATAGAGAAAAGTAAAATTCCGGACGGTAAAATTCCTGACAGTGCACAAGCGCGCATTACCTACATATGGCCTGACATATCGGACCTGAAAAAATCGGACCGCCGGACATGAAAATTCAGTGTAGTGCACAAGCGCCCTAACATTAACCTACGTTATTTTAAAAGAGCAGTTCTCCAAAAAAATTGTTTCAATGGGGTAATACTCCTTTAACAACGGGATCGTTAATTAAACTCGATAAACTCACAATCTTCCAGCGATTCATCATTAACACAAATGAACTTTTTTTAAAAACATTGAGGAATTTGTTATTAAAATAGCATTTAAAAAGAACATTAAAAAATGCGGATATCAAAAGACGAATAAAAAAAATGTGAATCGAGTTCGTCCCTCGATATCAAAGCCCCGCCCACCAGGCGGCCTCATTATTCTGTCGGTATTTTCCGGCCGCTCAGTCGCCGCCGACCTTTTGCGCTGGAGTGTTGTTGCGCATCGCCGCCGACGCACCGCTGCGAAGCGTCTTTTTTGTCGATTTTTGTTTTGTTCTAGTGCATTTTTAATTGAATTGAATTTAATAAGATACTAGAGTGTTCGTCTTGAGTTTTAAGTTTAGTTTAGTGAAGATTGTGTTTAGTTTTGTGTGAAATGTGATGTGTTTAGCGCGTGCATGCGCGGCATTGAAAAGAGCGTACTTAGCTCAGTCTTCAGAGAGGAAGTGGACATTTTCAGCATCGACTATCATTAAGATATCGGCAAATAATTAAATTAAATTAATGTATTTCGCGGTTCGTTGTAATCTGCACACAATCGATATTGCGCATGCGCGTTATAGGGCTGTCAACACTTAGAAATTTAAAATTTTTACTCAATTTTTACAATTTCAATTTTTACTCTATTTTTCAATATTTGTCAAATAAAATGAACGTTTGCATGTAGCCTAACTTGAAACTTTCGGCTGTGTCGGTCATTTTGTTCCTCCCAGTATTAAAAAATTGAAATTTGAAAAGTTCCAAACTTAAATATCAATACAAATACGAAAAAGTACAAATAGAATATGAGTTATTTATTGAGTTTTGAAAACTTATTTACTTTTAAACATGAAAGAAAACCGGAAAGGTTGTCATGGAGAAATCAAGAACGTACCGTAGCTACATCTAGTTTGATTTCGGGAACAATTTTTTTTTTAAATACTACCTCACTGCGTTTAATTTAAGTTTAATTTTACTTTTGTATTTTAGAGAAATAAATTATCAAAAATTACGTGTATTGTCTTTTCATGGTTGACTAGGACCCCTTTCATACTGCGGTGTGTCGTCGATCGCGTGCAGCGTGTAAAAGAAAACGAGGTCGTAGGCTGAGCCCCGCACCCCGGTGCAGAATAGACTTAAGATGGCATTGCTGATGGGATTCTGAATGTACAGAAGCAAAAAATGAGGAAAAATGCGGAAAAAATTATAGAAACTCTATGACCATGGATAACTTTGTATCATATCAAAGAACAGCTGCTCAAACTAAAAAGCTTCTAAAGTTAAAGAAAAGGACAGGTTGGAATAGGTTCTGTGAAACAGTGGCCCCAGATACCCCCTCAACCATAGTGTGGAAACAGTTGCAAAAGTTTCGCAGATCACGTAACCGTTCCAATTTAATATATACTGATTCTTCGATTTGAATAGAAGCATTTGCTGACAAACTGGTTCCCCCATCAGTCCCAAATATTGATTGCCTACATATCAACACTAATGTATAAAAGATGGATTATTTTCGATTAACGCCTTTTACGATAATGATATCATCCCCGATCATTGGACTTAGCAAATTGTTATATCCCTTGTAAAACCAGGCAAAAATTCATCTGAACACTCTTCTTATCGGCCTATAGCTCTCTCGTCTGTTCTTTTAAAAATCGACGAACATATGATGAAAAACCGTGACATGCTTGCCAAATCTCAATTCGGGTTTAGAAAAGGTAGAAAAGGTACAATAGATTATCTCAGCATCCTTACGACAGATATCCGGCTATCGTTTGAGAAAAACAACAACTGGTAGGGGTAAGTATATACATCCGGGATTTATCTTGATAAGGGTCCAAGGTTACTTTCTAGCTAGGATGGTGTGGAAAGGTCTACCATAAGGATCAGTTCTTAGACCAATGTTTGTAGCACATATAGGTACTTATCTGGAACTTTCAGTGAACTCCTTTTGTCCGATTCTACAATACGCAGATGACGTAGTGTTTTACGTCCGAGCGAAATTCATATTGGAAGCTATATTACGACTAAACTCCTCTCTGTCCTATCTTGGCGACTGGTTGACGGACCATGGACTATCGATTTCCACATCAAAATGTAGTGCGGTAATCTTTACCAAAAAGCGAAACGTCCCTGTCCCGACCATAAAATTTCAGAATGTTCCCATTGTTACCAAACCCTCAGTTAAATTCCTAGGAATGGTTCTTGACTCCAAATTGACGGATACTGATCAATTTAATAATTTAGCAAATAAAGCGGAAAAGAGCGTAATATTTTGCGAGCGTTGTCTGGTGTTTGGTGGGGTGCTCATGCGGAAACTCAAAAAATATTGTATAACGCTATTGTGCGTAGCTTTTTTGATATGGTATTAATACTTTTTTTTTTGTTCCGGCTCTAAACCTTAAGGGTTCGGAACCACCCTCCCAGCGGGGGAAGGAGGCGGTGAATCCTTCATTGGATACCCCAAAGCCGGCTGTGAGGTTTTGTCAGACTCCTACTGACTAAACACCGCCTGGACAGCTGGTTACATGCTCGGAGGCAACGAACCTTCGACCGAAGCGACCGCCCCCCCCGCAAGGGGGGGGGGGGGGCGGCGCAGACGTCACTATTCACCTACGTGAATTGTGACATCGAAATGTTAGCCGTTAACCCCGGGGGCTCGGCTCATCGGATTGAAATACAGCTGACTCCCCGAAGGGGAACGATCAGCCAGATCGGACGGGGATATTAATCCTCACCTATCAATGCCTTATAAAGGTGCCGATCCCCCTCTTTTCCTCTGTAGGCAATTTGTCAGCGAAAATTTTTTTCTGAAAGTTTTACAAAATAAACATTACCCGTTGTTGCCTATACTATACAAAACATATCATGTATACAACACTAATATCAACGCTAATCGTCGCCAAAATGTCCCTTTTATAATTACCAGTTATTTCCATTACCATCGAAAAATTACCGTGTAGTCCCTTATATTTAAACAGCTTCGAATCCTTAGTTTTCGATCCGCCCATTTTACCAAGTTTAGACATTGAAAAACAGTCCCCCGGTGCTAATCAAACCTTCAATAAAATTATTGCTGAAAATTGGCACCAGTGGCTCCTTACATTATATTTACAGATGCATCAATGCTCTCAGACAATGGCTGTATCAGAGTTGCAGCATAGATACCTAAATTTAATATAGTACTAAGTTTTAAAAGCTGTCTTTAGGCAATAACATCCAATCCTTCTCAAATCATAATTTTGAAGATAAGAGAAGCTTTAATAAGATGCATACTGATAAATATAGAACTGCTGCTGAGTTGGGTCCCGGGTTATAGTGGTATTTAGGCAAGGAATCTGCAGACTCTTGTGCTGGAAATGCAATCACTAGCGGTTCTACTGACTATTCTGAACTAACGTATCACGACTTCCTCCCCCTTACTCGTTCCCGTTTATTCTAGTCATGGGAAAACCACTGGAGAAATACTAGAGATAAGATACGTAAATACTATTTCGACATCCAACAAACTATCCCCAAGAAACCTTGGTATTTAATGCAAAAACGTATTCCCAAGCAGGTTGTATCAATACTGTGTCGTCTCCGCATTGGGCATACAAGTTCATCAGTTCATTTAGTTAAAAATTAGAGTCAGAGATAATTCACTTTGCATATGCGGCCAGATGAAGGATCAGTGGATCACATTTTATTTGACTGTCCCAAACTTCTTTACTCCCTGTACGATGTTCTCCCACAAAATATCCCTCGACCCATATATTAAAAGTACCCTTCAATGAGGAAGTATTTAAAAAAAAACGAAAGCACTAAACAAGCACCTCCACTAGATGGCGACTCAAGCAAACGTTGATTTTTCTAGGAAACGAATGGACTAAAGACAGTCATTTCCGTTCCTTTTAACTAACATAATAAAACACTGAAATTTAAAAAGTTCGAAACTTAGATATCAATACAAATACGAAAAAGTACAAACAGAATATTAATTGTTAATTAAGTTTTGAAAATTTATTTACTTTTAAACTTGAAAGAAAACCGGAAAGGTTGTCATGGAGAAATCAAGAACGTACCGTGGTGACATCGAGTTTGATTTCGGGAACTAATGTTTTTTTAAATACTTCCTCAATGGTTAATACACCAAAGAGTATTTGTAATACACCCTTTTTTTAAATATAAACTGCTTCATAATTTACCTCTACTAAAATATTATGTCTATGGTGTGAGTGAAGTGATGATGCATGTGATTAAATGTGTTACATTTTGTTTCAGGTTTGTTGATATACAACATAGAAAGTGATAACCTTTACAAATATTTATGTAAAAATATGTGGACATATTTAGATATATTTCACAATACAATACGAGTGGACGCTTACTCGATCACTGGACTATAAAATATATGTTAAATAATGTTGCTGCTAATAATATTTCCACAACCAAAACTAACACTTTGTATCGAATACTCGTTAATTTTTTATCGACTATTGAGGTGCTAAGGTACACTAGTAGTAGTGACGTTTGCTGTACTTATCTCGTTATCTCTGGTAAAAAACGTGAGGCAACGCTTTACAATGGGGGTTACCCTGATAATTTCCTTGTGACTTGACATTTGTAGCTGTAGTATAATGTGTAAATAAACGACGATATCAACCATACATATAACAACCAATATTTTCTATAGTGCGATGTGCTATTTGTGATTTAGTGAGATATTATTTATTATACCCTGAATTCTGTGTGATTTATTTATTCGCTGTTTGTTGTGTTAACGTAAATGTCAAAGAATTAAGACGTTTTTACATTATTACAACTGAAAATGTCTGAAGAAATCAACTGCACATATGCTTTCAAAAAGCTACCAACGTTTTTGGTAAAGAAGAATAATTTGAAACCAGTGACAAGTGTAGGATTACTGAAAAGAGATGTATTTAGAGAAGACCTACTGTATGAATCAAAAAGCGGGGATTTCCTGAAATTGGACACACCACTCACTTTAGTCAATAGGTTTAATTTGATCACTAAAAACAGTATCACAGTGGCTCGCTACACAAAGACTGCTGTTGAAAAGACCTCGGAAAATATAACTCGCATTATAGGTCAAAACAATTATGATACAGTATTCTCGGCTCTGTGCTCTGTTATTAACCATGAATTAAAAATACGAGGAATATTGTCCCTGCTAACACTTCCTAAAAAGACAAAGACAGTTTCATGTCAAACTGAAGAAAGACCATATACTTACTCTAAGTCTTTAGAAGAAAAAGAAACTCAGACCACACAATTAAATATTATAAAGAATAAACCAGTTAAAAGAACAAAGCGGAAACAGTTTACACCATATGTTGTCACAGAATCGCCCAAAAAGAAGATAGCCAAAAAAGTTGTTGTCTATCCAAATCATTTTAATAATTTGCATACCAGATCTGAAATAGATACATGCAATTCAAATAAAATTGAGACTCCAATGGAACAATTTATTAATCATCCACTATCAGACTTTGATGACAACTCTATGGATAGCAAATTCTCAATAGGGACAGTTGGTAGTATACCAGGTTTATTGGAAAAACCATTATCTTTTTTAGAAAATACTGTGGATACATTCACTGCTCCCGTCAATGCAAACAAATCAATGTTTGATCTGTCTAACAATACTGAATTAACTTTATTAGATGGCACAAAATTGCGATTACCATTTAAGATAGAAGATGAATTTCACATAGCAACACCAGATATTATGAAGTTGGTTTCTCTGGAGGATCGACGGAAGCTCCTGTGGTATCAAGCTTACATCGATTGGAAAAATTGTTTGACTCACGATGAGGAAGATCATTTGTAAGTACCTGTTACTGTTTTTTTTTTAAATTTAGTTATTGGGGACCATTTTTATACAAAATGGGGTACTGTGGTCTATGAAGTTTTTTCTCAGGACCAGAAAGCCATGTACACCAAGTGGACATTTAGGACATGGAACCAAAGGTATCTTATTACTTAAAAAATTACATCAAATTATTTCTTTATCAACTAAAACCATAAATCTGAGTATCAAAAGAGGCCTGAACAAGGAGGTCATATTTTAAAGTAAGGAATTAAACGTGAAAAAATAACATAATAAATTGAGAAAAAGTAATTTCTAATCTTACTTTGGTTTATTTGCTCAATACAAATAAGATGTTTAGTACTTGTCGCATTCATTAGTAAGTAAGACAATTTGCAATATTTAAACCATTGCTCATAATTAGACATTGCAATTTTATGTTATTATTTTTTTAAATAAATCTTCACTTCCAATTTAAAATACTTTTTGAAGCAACCTATTCACTGGCTGCGAAGTACTAGGTGGGTGTAATAAAATTTAGTTACCTCATTTAGGTAATTTGAATGTTTAAAAATGATTCTACAAGCCTCTTTCCACCCAAATCATAGTATCACAGTAGTTTTGCAATATAAAATAATAGGTAGTTTTTGTTTAATATAACATGTTTAATGTCGAAGCGTCTAAGTTGATAAAGTTTAGGATGCAAGGAGTCGCTGAAGTCATGCATATAGCCAATAATTAAGATGGCACCAAATAAATGCAAACTTAAAATATTTGTCTATGTTCTTATTGGTTGTCCAAATAAATAAATAACCTATCACATGACCTACATTAGTGTACCATAATAGGAAGTTTAGTCCAGTTTGTACCTCATAGACACAAATATATCCTGTGTTATAATTTTATTATTCTCCAGATCTAGATCAAAATCTTGTCTTTATCATAATCCTGTGAGTGAATATCTCTCACCGCACATACACTCCCATAATTATTTCACTTAATATGACCCTTTACAAATGTATTATAATTATTTTCCTGATACTATCTAGTAATAAATCGCTTTTATAAAACCTTGTTACGATATATAATTTAATATCTAGGGATATAACTATTTTAAAGCTTTATACATCATACAGCGGCATTTATAAATCCAATAGTAGTCCATTGATTTCCAATGCTTGGGTGACCTCTCTTTAGCCATGTGAGATCAGCGCCTCTAATGGAGACTAATGTAACAATTTCACGATATAGGTTTACTGCATAACTAAATGAATTTTATGTAACTGTCATTAAATTCGAATTTAAAGCTCAGCAATTTATACCATCGCGTATGAAATCAGATTTTAGCATATTTTAGCCAGTTTTGGGATGGGACGCGAGAATTTTCGATCTATTCTATCGATCTATCTATTAAATCGATCTATTTTTTTTTTGTTATAATGAAATAAATTTCATTTTAATTAATGAAATTGAATGGCGCCATTGAATTAAAGGGCTAGTCGCCTAATTGATCGGCATATTATACCACTTGGCTGCGACATATATATTAGGAAAGAAATGCACAACGCAATTCTGTAAATAATATAATCACTAATTCACGGCTAGAGCGAAGGTTTATACACAGAATTTGGCTTTACGCGATCTGGAAAGGATATATCTCGTGTGCCAATCGTGAAAGCGGGCTGGATAGTTTTGGGACTTATTTTTATAAGTACCTACCCACCTATAGCCGGTGATAGCCAGTAAAGTCGTGAGATGTTTGTCAAGAAATACATATTCACGATTGGCCTACAACATCTACTATATGCGCAGTCTATATGCATGGTCCGGCTCGTCCTGGATTCATTGCCAGTTCCTCGGGACTGGACCACGTGAGAGAGTGAAACGGAGAGTTTTGACGGGTAGGCCCACTGCACCAACGTCCCTTACAGTTGGAGAGTTTCGGATACTAGACTCCGTTGATGAAGTGTTCAGGCTACGTCACGTCATCTATACTATAATATTATAAAGCTGAAAAGTTTGTTTGTTTGTTTGCGCTAATCTCAGGAACTACTGGTTCGAATTGAATAATTATTTTTGCATTGAATAGACTATTTATCGAGGAAGGCTTTAGGCTATATAACATCACGCTGCAACTATTAGGAGCGAAGAAATAATAGAAAACGCGGACGAAGTCGCTGGCGGCCACTATAATAATTAATTGAGATATATATATATATATATATATATATATATATATATATATATATATATATATATATATATATATACATATATAATCCTTAATTATTTATTATTGACGTGATGTAACTTTAACACTTCATCGACGGATTCGAGTCAACCACAAAGCATGTCTTACTTATTATATTGACAGATGCTTGGTAGAAATCGCTGTTAAGTGATAAGGCCGCCGTTTGTAATCTTATGTTTTATATTGTTTTATTTTTTTATGTGTGCGATAAATATTATTGACCTATTAATATTATTATCTATAATAATAACTAAGCTTAAAGTGCAAAAATATTTTCTAAGTATGATATTGCAGGTATAATATAAGGTATATTAAGTAAAGTGTAGCGACTATCTATCTATCTGTAATAAAAATATAATCTATCATAGTGAACTTGAACGATAAGCCGCCGCCTGTTACATTTCTCGGAAGGAGATTCCACAAATTTTCATGTGTACCTTTGAATGACAACACAATTATTGTGACTCAATCTTCAATTGCAATATTTTTTTTAGAAATGATAAAATTAAATAAGGAAATTGTCGATACTAACCTATCTATACTAATATTATAAAACGATTTGATTGTTTGTAAGCATCGAATAGGCTCAGACACTACGGGATTAATTTGAAAATTCTTTTACTTTTATATTATCCCTGATGGAAATAGGTGATAGAATATTTTCAAAATCGTTTAGTATCCAAATGAAAACTTCAATACAAAGCCTGGGCAGGCCGTTAGTTAGGTATATCCTATTAATATTATAAATGTGAAAGTTTCTTAGTTTGGATGTTTGTCGGTCAATCTCGCCGAAACTAATGAACGGATTTTGATGAAATTTGGTGTACAGATAGGGTATAAGCTGACTTAGATAATAGGATACTTTTTATCCCACTAATCATTTCCCTAGGGACCACGCGGGCGAAGCCGCTGGTGAAAGCTAGTATTAAATATAACAAACTTATAACAATAGACTTTAAAAAACTGTTAAATCTTTTTTTATAAAACTGTTAAATAATTCTTATCTCAGAATCAATTTATTCAAGAAAATGCTATTGAATGCGGGCGCCTATCTTTTAATTAACATAACGTACTATAACAGTAGTGACTTTAATAGTAGTTTCTTGAATAAGTCGCCGCTAAGTCGTCAATTTTGTTTTATTATTAGAGTAAAAAAAAACAACCTTTGTGTGATAGCGACTTTTTTATTTTCATATTAGATAGCTTTCAAAATATAAAACCTATTAATATTATAAATATGAAAGTTTCTTTGTTTGGATGTTTGTCGGTCAATCACGCCGAAAGTACTGAACGGATTTTGATGAAATTTGGTATACAGATAGGGTATTAGCTGACTTAGATAATGGGATACTTTTTATCCCAATAAACATTTCCCTAGGCGAAACCTAGTATTGACATATTTTTATATAAATACTAGCTTTCCGCAAGCGGCTTCGCCCGCATGGTCCCTAGGGAACTAAACTAATCTAAATCTAAACATCCAAACAAAGAAATTTTCACATTTATAATATAAATAAGATAGTGAAGGTATTAGGAAAAGAGATTTCGTTTATTTGTTCGACATAATTTTTTCAAGGAAATATTTGAATATTTGAAAGTTGCGGAAAAACAGTTACTAATATTTTTTTTCGTTTTCAGACCCATCCACATGGCTGCAATGAATGGAGATATCGATCTATTGAGGAGACAGTGTTTTGTACTTAAGGCAAGGCATGAGTCAGTGGACATACCTACGAAGGAAAATTTGGTGAGTACCTAACCGTTTTTTTTTATATTTAGGGATGCCAGGAGTTTTACGTCTTCGTATAATAAGATTTTATTTTAATAACTGAAAGCTTTAGGTAGTTTACTACAACCCGAATTCGAATGAAATTTAACTAATTAGTCTCCTTTATTGGTAATCATTGAAATTAAATTACAATCATAATTTCAGTCATGGCAATAGTTTGCAGTAGTCACATATTTAATACTATAATAATCATATTTTGCTTCGCTTTCACTAAAGTTATTTCATTCTTCATTCGTTTATAAACAAATCAGTAGCACATGGTATAATATGTGACATCATTTTGGAAATCGATGTCACATAAGCATTCTCTCTTCAATAGTTTCATTCTTTGCATATCAAACAGACACATACAATATATTTACATTTAATACTGCCCGTTGCACAAACATCCATTAAAATTTTCATTAGTTTAAAGCGACATTTATTAGAGCTAAAAGTTGTCATTAAACCTTAATAGACGTTTGTGCAACTGGGCGATAAACTGGTGGCAGATTTAGTAAGTCCAGTAGGGCGAGGCGGGCTCAATGTTACACGGGGCACATTGAACTTTACTCCATACCTGTCATTACTTTTTATAATGTTCTTATACAGTTGTGACGAGCTTCCAAATGGCCATCTTGAATCAGTTTTCATTGCTTCAGTTTATACCACTTATTAATGTTATTTAATTAAAAACTAATTTAGTTAGTTTGTGCTTAGTTTGTGCCTAGGTTTTAAAAGAAAATGGTAAGTAATCGTAATAAAAAGACGAATCACGGTCTTCATACTAAAAAAAATAATATAAACGTTGCAAAGATACGTATAGTAGGGAATAGCCCCAACCTCGCACCTTGCGATTTTTATTTACTCCCGAACATAAAAGAACTTGTCTTGTAACAGAGTACCCGAGATACAGGGCAGTGTTATAATCGGCTTACTTGATTAATATGCAATTTAAATTAGTTTTTGGTAATATATTTATAATAAATATCAGATATTAGATATTAATCTGATATATATCATGCATATGAAAAGCTGGGATTATTAAGCTGCTAGTAGCTTTCTTTAATATTTGATCTTTTAAATCAAAAGTGTAAAATATAGATTGAGTTTGACTTATTTATTATTAATCAAAAAGTACTAGTAGGATTCCCAGTAATGCACATGCCGGCTTGTACACTGAACACTGTGCGTGTAGTTGGTAAAATGGTAGCATGCGCAAACCCCAAAGCCGGCTTGCGCAAGTAAAACTGTGGTCAAGCATGCACGTGTGGTAGGCGCCTAACGTATAAAATAATGGAATACCTGATTATAGGTGTAAAAGACTGATGGCAAATCGGGAAATTTTAATTTGAAGAAGGAAATAGGGAAAAAAGGATAAAGAGGTTTTGATACTTGTAATATTTTAATATAATAAAACTGCTCAATAACTGCCTCAGCAAATTTAAACAAAGATTAGCCATCTGCGTGGGATATAATGGGATGGGATGAATAGTATAGGTATATTGATAGCATCCGACCCGACAGAAAAACCCAGTAATATTTTACCTGACCTGGAATATAACACAAATAAATAAAGGTAGTTTTAATTTATGCATTTGTTTATTGCTGATATTTATTAATATTTCTTACACATCTAAATCAAATACGCTTTCATTTATTTTCTTCTTTTAGCCGTTATTTTTTGCCTCGGAGTGTAAAAATGTCTTCATATCTTCACCTTCACTAATAATTAATTGTATTGTTAGTCGAAACGCGAACGGATATTTACTAATCAAATCTTTATAAAAAAATAAGTATCAAGACTAGTCATTGCTAGATACCGTTCAATTCTTAAACAAACTTTAAAATAAATAAAAAATTCGTTAAGCTTATTTTCACAAATTTTGCAATAAACATTAAAAAAATATTTCTCGTCTGAAATATCAATGGCTTTTTAGGAATTTTCACACAATAAATTAATATTTTTACAAATATCCACAACAATTTACACTTTGACTTGACAGTTGTCAACAGTTGACAATTTATTTTGCCATATAGAAAGCAATATTTACTCTATTTATTTTGTGCCATTATATTCTGGTACAGCTATACCCACTTACTATAATAAACCCTGATATTACGTGAACACAAGCATTAAATTTCAAGAAAAAATAAAAGAAATAACCGTTTGCACTTCGTGATCATATTACGGGAAGACCCGAAATTTCTAGTAAGATTGCTACTTCGGGCCAGTTTTGCCAGCGTCACATCGGGTTGGTTAATTTTCTAACTAAGACTCAAATATCGCTCTTTAGCGATAAGGCCGCCGATTGTACAACTAAACTGTGTCTATTGTAATTTTCTATAATTATGGTGTACAATAAAGAATAGGCTAGTTGACAACTTCATAAATAAATAGTCCATTAACATCTGAGAAATAATGTCGAAGTAACAGCATATCTGCGATTAATAATTTCGGAGATACGGTGCTGTGTTTGTAGAACTGCTGCTAGTTGGCCGAAAACGCTACCTACAAATTCAAGGCACTCAGTGACGTCACACGGTGCTACAGTAGCGAAAAATGTCTGGACAATTTTTGCAATATCTCTGTTATTTGTGCGTTTATGTTTATAGCTGTTATAATAAAAGTTGTAACCTTTTTTATATCTAATTTAATGCCTATGTATTTTAGCAATTTTTTGTAGTAGATTTTCTCTACTTTTTTCAAGTTTTCAAAGCGTAATATTTTCCAAATCAGTGACTTAAAATTTTGTTTATTTTTGTTTTGTTAAACATTTATAAGTTAAAATGGTTCATATTAATGGGTAGGACAAGCCTATTTATTCATTCATTCATATATCAACTTAAATATCATGATAAATATACGTTGATATTTATCGCCGAACCCTGCTCACAATATAGGCAGAAAAATACAAAACGAAAATTTAAACGTTGACGAAATTAAATTAGAATTCAATGACAGTTTTGTAGTTCAATAGGTAATGCACTACAAGCGCAGTTCCAACGGTCCACCGCATCTGTAAATACATTGGCTTCTGTTTGGTTGGCATAGGATTTAATAAAAATTCACTCAACGTTCTATGTCAGAAATAAGAAGAAAATATTTAATATATATCGTTGAATTTACACGCTACCCTGAATTTATTGTAAAGCATCACAATTCACTATTTGTAATATCATGTGTGTAATTTCTTAAAGTTCTTTGAATTTTAAGTACAGTTCAATGGTTTTTTTTTGTCTAGTTTATAATTAAACTAGCTTTCCGCCAGCGGGTTTGCTTGCGTAGTCCTATATAATACATGTATACCTCTTTAATCACTCTTAACTCTTGTTGAAAACCTCATTACAATTCTTTGTGTAGTACAAAAGATCTTATCGCACAAACAGCGGGAACCGACTTTACTTTATACTATGTATAGATTGATGTTAGTGATATCCTTTACGATCGAAATCATTTGAACGCTAACACGTAATGTAAAGAAAAACCCAACGATAACAAAACAACTGTTGGCTTACCACAGAATGCTGATATGAAATAATATCATTTACTTATAAACTGCTCGGCAAAATTTATCGCGGGGAATTCCTTTTTGTATTGTAGGTACGGATAAGTGTAGGTATAGATTAGGGTTGCCAATACCAACTTTTAAAATATAAGATGTAAAGTTAAAAACCAATGAGCTGATTGTCTAATTTGTAAGAAATTACGATTTTAATTATCAAGAAATATAATAATAACTCGGTAATTAAAAGTAATACTTGAGTCTAACGCTTGCCTTTATCGATTTCGTTCATTCAATATATTTCATTAAAACGCCGAGACTGCTATCGCTTACACATGTCAAATAGTTGTAGCGTGAAGTTCGTGATTATATTTTAGCGTGAAGCCTATTAATACACAGGACATTTCAGTGTTCTTTATGCAATGGTACTTTGCAGTGGATTTTATCAGATAAATATATAGATAGAGTATTTATTTATACATATATTATTTACTAGCCTTCTGCTAGCGGCTTCGTCTGCATGATTTAGTTTTAAGTTCAGAAATGAGAGAATTCCATAAAAAATTTCATCCCCTAATTTACCACCTTAGGGATTAAATTTCATAAAATCCCATCTTAGTGAGCGCCTACGTCCTAAACGTTCGCTTTTACATATATAGATTTATGACTTGTATTTAGATTAATCATACGATATTTTAAAATACAGTAGGCGCCATCTAGGGATAGCTATAAAGCTGTAATTAATTTAGTAATATATTTTTTTTGGATATATATATCAAAAATAATAAACAAGCCATAAAAATCGTGATACCTATATATCACTGGGTATATAATTAATTATCTATCGACGAACCCTGACGTTGACGTTTACTTAATAACATACAACAACCTCTATTACAAAGCATTACGAAAACAAATCTCAAATGTAAACTTAAATCATATTTTATAATAAATAGAAAAATATATATATATATATAATATCTGATTACTTAAATAACACATATTTTTTATTGTTTCAGTCGGCGCTTCAGATATCGATATTCAGCAATAATCCGCAATGCACTTCATTGTTGCTCCAACATGGAGCCGACGTGTTGGTTACTGACGACGAGTATCGTACGAGTTTCCACTTGGCCGCTGAAGCTGACCCTGGACATTTGAAAGCATTGATTAAGCATTGTCAAGATAATCCGATGTGAGTAAATTAACATTGACTGGTGATGGTAGAAAAGGAGCGAGTAAGGGTTAGGACGTTAGAGGGAGCAAAACGATCACACATAAGTCCATAATAGAAATATTTTATCGAAAAATTAACACTTATCATCATCATCATCATCGTCGTCGTCATCACCATCGTCGTCGTCATCACCATCGTCGTCGTCATCATCATCGTCGTCGTCATCATCATCATCGTCGTCGTCATCATCATCATCATCGTCGTCGTCATCATCATCATCATCAGCATCATCATCATCATCAGTCATTTTAAGTGCCCACTGCAGGGGTTCAGGCATTATGGATGGTTAAGGAGGATAGGCCATGCCTCTTCACGCTGGCACAATGTGGATTGGAGGATATTAACAACTGCAAATGCATCTCGGACCAACGGATTAACGTGCCTTTCGAAGCACGGGAGTAGCTCGAGATAATATTTTTTTGGTCATCCATCCTGTGATCGAAAGTTGTTTACAACACGATCTCGGACCGTGGCACTTATCTACAACGCCATCGAGCTTCAAACACCGTCTTATTATAAAACAAGGACTAACTTAAGTACCAGTTTTAAACTATTATCTGACCAAAATAAGACATGTCTCAATTTTACTTTATTTCTTCTATCACTGTCAATTTGCTTTAGCCTGTGGTATTGTAATAAGACGATTAGAGTTGCACGTGTAGCATGACAAACTCGAGAAACGCTTTGTCTACACCCAAATGTCACTTTCTCGGGTCGTAAGTGAGATATAGTATGGGCGCACCCGAGAAAAGTGACATTTGAGTGTAGACAAAGCGTTTCTCGAGTTCGTCATGCTATGCGTGCTGGACTACATCTGACACTTTCTATACTTTTCTTTCGCACCGAACTTCCTATTTGCTAGGGCTAGAAAGAAAAGGCGAAATTCTCGAGGCTGCCATCGTTCTGGCAGTGTATTCCAACTTTTAATATCTCGATAGGAATAGGACAGTATTATGCCCACTTATAAGTTTATTACTTTTATTTAATTATTTAGTTCACGAATAAATTACTATCCTTATATTGTCTATGGCCTTATCGGTCAGTTGCACAAACGTCCATTAAGGTTTAATGACACCTTTAAGCACTAATGAATGTCAAATTTGTATGGGCAATGAAATTGACAGTGAACAGTACAGAAGAGAATACGTCAAGTTGAGACATGCTAACTTATATCTGTCAGAATAAAGTGAGTCCTCGTTTTATAATAAGACGGGTTATGTTGAATGTTTTACCTTTTTAATATCCGATCTCTTACTCTTATCATCACCGGTCAATATTAAGATAAACACATCACAATTATTAGTAGCCAACAGTATGAAGGACAGTAGAAGGTGCGTGTTATTATTATGCTTCTGAGGACATGTCACAGATTAAAATTTTCAACTGTCAATAGATGGTGCTTGTGTACTAAATAATCGCCATCAGCCTATTAATATTTAATAGAAGATCTGTGCTTCATTATACACCGCACAGGCCCAGTGCGGATTGGTGGGTGTTAAAGTCTGCAGATGCAGCTGGGACCAACGGCATGAAGCGCCTTCTGAAGCCCCAGATAACCACATAGATACTATGACGCATGACAACAATCGATACGGATCCACTGCATCGGTTCCATAATATGTAACCTTTATGACATGACCCGTTTGCGATGCGTTAGACGTATATTAAGTGCCGACAGATATGGCGATTGGTCAAACTTCGTTTGCGTAGAGCAGATCTACCCATTTTTAATGATGATTAAACATACGATTAATATTGTGAGTCTTGTTTCAATATCCATAAGGTGTAAAATAACACGACACGGGAGTGAGGTGCGTGAATATTAGTTGATTGCAAGATGGCGTGATGTTTGCCGCGCTTCGAAATTTAGCCTTCTACGCCGGTACATCAGTGACCCGTATTAGTTGTAATTTACTGTGCCAAAAAATATTAAAAAACATTCTTTAATTTTAATTGTTAAATAAAATTTAAAAACAACACTAACACCATCCTTTGACACTCGAAATTAATGAAATCGTGACATTTCCATAATAGTTTATAATTTTTTGTATGATTTTTAATTCTTACACATATTTAGTAATTAAGAATAGCAAAAGTGTGTTTGGTTTGTAATGTTTTTTATCTATCTTTCTTTTATTAGTAAAGATTGTAAAAATGTTTTACAGACAAATACTTCAAGAGAATGATGAATTGTGGAAACCCGAATTAGCTTCGAAGCCAAAGGATTACTTGATAAAGTATTTGTTGAGAAATGTCCTTAGTATGTTCGATAATCAAGGTGAGAATTATAAGAATCTAGTTTAAAATTACAAAATTATTATATCTTTCATCATCATGCCAGCACATAAACTATAATCTAACTATAATCTTATTAAAATAAAGCTCTGAACGATCTGTCTATCTGACAAATCAGCTGTTAGTTAAACATTACATATATTGTGTACTGTTGTGTTATATATATAATTGGATGTTATGAATCAGAACTGAAGTTTAACTTCAGTTCTGGTTTATAGCTTTGATTTGATTTAACTAATTCTGTAGCTTATCAAATAATAAAAAAAATACAAGTAATTTCTCAAATAGAGAATAATATATGAAATTTTTAGGTTATACACCTCTTATGTTGGCAAGTAAACTGGGTAAATTTGAAAACGTGAGGAATCTTATAGACGCATCCCTTGAAACTATAGATATACAGATGCCTAACAGTGGAAATACAGCTTTGTACCTAGCAGTTGGCTCGGCGTACACAGACTCTGAGAGTGAGTGACTTTTATTACATTGATAATTACATTATTTTAAAAATTTCTTTAAAAAAACTACTTTTATATGATTACCTTAATTATTTTAAATATAAGACTGTATTACCATCCTGAGTACAAAGTATTAAAATACATTAACACAATTTTACAAATTCACAATGGACTAGTTGTACAAGGTAATTTGCTATTCATGCAATCAAATAATTATTTATATTAACATAACTAATGATATTCACAGATCGTGGCAACAAATCTGTTGTGACAGATGACTTTAAGAATACTATAGAGTTGTTAGTTGAGCATGGTGCAGATCCGGCTATAGAGAATCACTCCAGTTCCAGCGTGAACACGCTCCTCACAGACATGCGTATCTCTGAATTGTCTATGATCATAGCCAATAAGATGGTAACAAAAAATTGTAACGCTATCGGAATGGCTGATGACTCTCATTTGAATATTCGTATGATTATAAAAGGTGATGATGGCAAATTGGATTATAAAGAAATGCCCCAAAAGATGATAAAAAGAGAAAAGATCAATAAGAATAATAAAGACAAACCTATTATAATTCAGAATGTTAAAATAGAGAACAATGATATGTTACTGAAACAAATAAATACTCCAACTTGTTCACCGGTCAAAGGCGAAATTGAAAAAAAATGTGAAATTGTAAAAAAGGATCTTGGTTCCGATAATATTAAAAAATCTCCTATCTTATCTGTTCAAGTTGAAGATAAAGCGACACATAAGAAAGATTACATAGAGTCCTTCAAAAAATTTGTAATAGGAGTAAATAGTAATAAAATTGTAACACCTATTACAGATTCTGTTGGCACATCTACTTCAAGTAAATCTGCAACTACTATGACCCATGATAATGTTGATAACTCAACAACTAAATCAGCTAATTTGTCTCATAATATTAAAGGAAATATTCGAAACGTTAAGAAATTGAATGAAGGAGCAAAAAAGAGAGTTATAAAAATTATCAGCAAAAAAATTGAAATAGGAAATAGTAATGTTAATTCGCAGCACTCCGGAATTATAAATATTCTGTCTAGAAAAAGAACTATGAGTAACTCCCCACTCACGAATTCGAGTGAAGCAAAAAATAAAAGAGGAAATGAGGAGCCTATAAAAAAAATGTCCTGATTTCTACAATACCGATTTGTTTTAGACGATTTTTTAATGCACACACGCATAAAGAATGGAATATTTATTTTATGGCCATTTTAGGTTTGGTCCTGTTGATTATTGTACTAAGCGTTGATCGCCAGAAATGAAGACTTACTGAAATAGCAAATTTAATTCATTAAATATGGTAAATGAATAGCCTTTTTTTGCCAAATCTCATATTTAATAAGCTGCTTGCTTTTTACAGATCTATCAGTCGTAACTTTATTTGATGTTATTGTATAATTAATCTGTTCACTCCATTATTGTGTTTTAATAGTATTGCATTATTTTCGGTTGTATGAATTGTTTCTTCGTATATATATATAAAAATATATATACTTCCTGCAATGTATTCGATATTCGATTTCGATTATATTCGATTCAATGTATTCGAAATTTGTAATTTTTGCGTATAATAATAGATTATTTTATTAGATATAAATTAATATTGATGTGTTTAGTTTTCTTTGTAGCGTATTTTTTTTTAAATTGGTACGTTTATATTTATATATGTGGTATTTTTCAATTACTTAGAATATTTTCTATAGTAGTTAGGCGGTGAACAAACACATATTTACATAAAACAACATTGTAACACAAAATGAGGCGTGTGAGAGAATTTCAATGCAATCTTTTCTTTATATCTTTGTGTATAAACTTTTGTGTTAATTTTTATACAGTAAGATTTATATAAGTCTTATCTAATATAGTACAAAATGTAAAACTATAAAGAAATTAAAATAAAAACAATTAAAACAGAAAAACACGTATTACATTACATTTATTACTCGAATTAATTATGAAATTTGATACTTAATTTCATTGCATCTGCAAAATTTATGTGAACTTAATATTAGATGCTAATGGGACCGATCCCACCAGTTCATAGACAATATGCGGCTACAATTATGTTTGTGGTTTTAATGTTGTTATGACAAAGGCATTTTTCGTACACCGTGACTAGATAATGCAACCCGCAAGAAAATTTCAGTCCCAGTATTTGCGGTTATGGGTACCCTCAATCCTACAGGATTCCGGTATGTGCGGGACTCTATCTACCTCTAAATTACTTTAAATTGTGATCCATACGCCTTTTTAGTAACAACCAGTTTTAAATACGTGAAAATCGTGAAGATTTACAATTTAATTCATCCGAGAACTAACCATTCTCATAATTTCATTGTAGCAATATGAAATTTTAAGGGTTTTAGACAAATTTAGTTGTCCACGAAAATATTGATCGTATTTCGGCAAATTGTCGTAATGAAAGTAAAATATATCAATTAAATTTATTAATAAGTAGTGTACATGAAATTAAGTATACAATATCAAGATTGCGATAATAATCAGCCATACCTACCTCCGGATTTGTCCGAGACAAGTTGTTGAATAAAAATTTTAATGAAAAATAATAAATGAAGTCTTCGAATTATTTCGAATAAATTAAAATTTGACAAGTTAAAATAATAAAGTTAATGTACTGATTCAATTCCGTAAGACAACTAAACGATACTTAATTTAATGTAAAGAAATAGTTATTTTCACTACTTATAATAATATATAATTGATATAGGTCAGATTACCACAAAATGTTGAATATTGAATTACATATTATATTGATACAGAAATAATTATATTGTGCTGAAATTTTGATATTGTATTCATTACTGTAAAATTTAAGTAAAATTTATTTTATAAGTATAATAATGTACTACATACGGCGTGTTTATATTGGTCGATAGCATCATATCCGCATGGGGCGTGCTGGTCCTTTCTGTTCCTCTCTGTCATTAGTTGATTATTGTTTAATTGACCTGCGATTCTGTAAAATCCAAACCCGAATTCGAATTTATTCAGGTGTCCGAGTTCACTTTAAAAAGCGTCCTCCGCTCAACCTTGATTTGGTAGTAACGTTTCGTGACATAAGTGAAGTGAGTTTCGAAATGACAGGAGTAGAATATCTGAGACACGTATATTCAATTAATTTTGTTTTGAATTCGAATTGGGTCTGGATTTTTACAGAGTTGTAAGGCAGACTAACTATCAACTTAAATGAGCCATTAGATGTGATGATACAGTATAATTTTCGATTGTCTAGGACCTGTTTCTTGTTCCAAGTTTTTTTTTCCATATGTATTGCTATACTATTGCTGCCAATTCAATTACACAAAATTAATAAAACTGCGTTACTACTCATATGCGATATCCACTGAGTAATTTAATTAATTTAGTTTGATGATAGATTTAATATAATAATATTCTAAATTGTTTGCGTTTTATTTATTTATACTTTTTTCCATAAACACACACTAGAATACATAATAGGAAAGCCTAGGTGAACCACCTAGGTGTTTCACGGTTAACTTTTTGTACCCCTGGATCACCCAGGTGTTCCACGGTTAACTTTTTTTACCCCTCGTTCACATGGGTGTAAATTTTCTGTAGGTACTCTTTGTTGATCTAGTTCTATGGCTTACTTTTTGCACCTCTAAATATTAAAATCTATTGGATTATTTCTACACAGCCAAATGCCCTTTGAAACTTTCTTCGAGTGTATGAAGATGATAGGAATCAAGACAGCTATCTGGTTGTACTTTAAATTTATCTATTTTCTTACCATCGTTCGTCCTCTTCTTATGTACTGGCCACTAAAAATTATAAATTAAAAAGAAATAGTTTCTAGATTTATAAATTGGTTTTGGTTTAAAAAATGACGTGGATTTGGACAGCATAAACGTACCAATAATGTCACCGAGGGCTTCAATGCCAAACTTAACCGAACGCTAAACAAAAACACAGTGACATTATTAACGGTCAGTTGCACAAACGTCCATTAAGGTTTAATGACGCCTTTAAGCTCTAATGGATAAACGAATTTGTATGGGTAATGTAACTATAAACTAATGAAAAATTTAATGGACGTTTGAGCAAATGGCTGTAAGACTTAATTTTTTAGAAAAAAATGTATGCATTCTGATAAAAATTCCTATTAAAAAAAGAAAAATATTTCTCTAAAATAATAACTATATTCCCAACATACAAATGCAATTAGTTAAAAAGGAAACCAATATAGAGAGTGCATTAGGAAAGCTACTAGTTAATTTAGGCGATGTTTTAATGCGAACCAAGTACAATTTGACATAATATCTATTAATTTAAAGTAGAATATTCACTTCTAGAGTAAAGTTTGTTTTATGTCTCTTATTATTTATTAAGTTGTTACATTTGCAAAACAGGTTTTTTTCTTGTTTTGCCCTGAACATTCTTAATTTTTTCAATTTTAACATTTAGTTTTTGAATTATTTCGGATAACTTGTATTTGATTAGATAGGTAAATTACGGGTACATTCCAATTACGGGTCGCTATTCCAGAAACTTTCCGCCTTTGAATATATTTAACATTAACAACAAACCCGACTTAATACTAGATTGGACATTTTGGGGATGTGATATTATGAGCTGAAAGGCAGCTGCTTGAAGGATACTTTATCATCAGCTCTTTACGTCCCCACTGAAGGAGTTCAATCCTTTCTAATGGATCATTGGAGGATGGGCACATATATACATAACACTCCACGTCGACCTAATGCGGATTGGATGATTTTAACGACTAGAAATGCAGCCGGGACCAACAGCTTAATGTGCCTTTCTAAGCACGGAGTGGTTCGAGATAATAAATGTTTGTCACCCACCCAGTGACCGACCCTTACAAAAGTTGCTTAGCAAAAACGATTGCGGGCCACGGCACTTAACCACTACGTCACTATGAGGTTGCCTATTGTAAAATAAAACGAGGTCTTATAACTTACACCTTTAATTATTTACAAACAACGGTCCTCATACACGAGTGATGTGTAGTAATTAACGAATTTGAGCAAAACAGATGCGTCCGCGCACGCTGCACAAATATACACAAAGAAAATCTCAGAGTTCGTTTTTATAGTACGAGAAATTAAGTACTTACAAACTTAAATGGAAGACTTTGGAAATATTTTAGTTTCAAAAATAAAGGAGATTTATTTTATCGAGATAGGTATATCTAATTTATCAAATACTTAAAATTTAAATTCTCGAAATAAAGTCATATAAAAATAGTTTACTATGTATTTGGAACTTAACTACTTGCTAAAGTACACAGATTTTTTTCAATAATCGAACAACTTCAATAATTTTGAATAAATGAAGTCTCCGAATTATTTACGCAACACTAAAGCAAATTTGAGAAAATTGTAAATTTTTATAAATCAACTCAAATGAATCTCTGAGATTGCATTAACATATGGTACGATATCGGTAACAAATTATAACGCATACAAGCAAATAATATTATGAGTAAACCAAACATTTCCAAGTTATTTGAGAATAAAATCTTATGATAATCTTCAAGTAAATTCCAACGGCGCTAGTACAAGTATACTTATAAGAGCTAAGACTAAGAATACCGTTCCTGAAGAAAGTAAAAAACTAGACAAAGGAGATTTTTATAAAAGTGTTAAAATCCTAACATACAATACCTATGGACGGACCCAAATTAGACTAGTAGCTATCGGTAATATAATAAAAATAGTTTCATTTATTACATTCGTCACTAAATACACGAATAGATGGCATCCCTAAGCCCAAAGAGATAGATTAAAAATAATAATTCATATTTACAGTATTTAAAATAAACAGTCACATTTGATAAAACTTCTTGGAGAAACAAAAAATAATCGTTTACAATGTCAATTTACAATTAAATAATAATTTGTTCAAATATTGAATATTTTATTTTTAACATTGAAGGGAATATGACAATGCTATCACAATTTTAAATCTTAAGAATAATAAAAATAGCAACGTACAAGGTGGTATAAGATCGATAAAAACAAACTAAAAATGCCAAAAATTCGACTTTTTAACATTTTCTTTGCGCCATAAAAAGTTTTTACAGTAGAAACCATAAAAATTACGTTTACAATTGTTAAAAGTAAGTCTTCGTGGAATGATTTATAACGCGAAAAGTTACTTTTATGTCCCCAACTCCTTTAAAAATTGAAATCGTGTAATAATATAAGTACATTATAACGTATATGCATTTTTTCTTTAACTCAAACTCCCGTACTTATTATTGAGTTATGTATATGCTAATGTATTCACTACTGTAGCAGTTATAATCTATAAGTACCCTTTGTAAAAGAAATCCAATGGGATTGTACTGTTTAGAGGATCTAATAACTTGTGATATGATAATGAGATAATGGTGTGATTAGTTTTAAATGTGATTATCTGGCAATTACTGACTTGGTTCGAATAGTTTAATACTTTTTGTACAGAACTACTTAATTACATGCAACGGAAGAACTTAGATTTTCCTAAATAGAATTGTGTTATTCGAACTAAAAATTGTGATGATAGCATTTGTCTAAAAATAGATGTCTTATACAGATTATGTCATGTTAAAATACCATTTATGAAATTGTTTATTAAAAAGTAAACTACTTCAATAAATACATAGCTAAGACTTCAATTTTTTTAAATTACATTTATGCACTAAGCACCTGTCTATTTTACATAATATAAACAACTTCATAGCAAAATATTCGTTGAGAGCAGTCTTTTGTTTCATTGAAGTCAGCCATTTATTCATTGAATGAAGTCAGCCAATTAGAGATTCGTCTATTTAAAGATTTATTGGGGAAGAGGGGACTTGATATTCGAGTTTTATGTCATATAAATAAAATTTACGTTTGTGTTATAGTTATCTTCTGCTGTTAAGTTCGTAACCGTTTTCTTTGCTTGGGGTTTTGGCTGGTGGTGGTTTGGCAACAGCGTGGCCCTCCAATCTCAACGTGCTTTGGCGATGTGATGAACTGAGGAAAAAATGTTACATAGCTTAACGATCGTAACGAAAAGTTCATGAAGTAGTCATTAATCCTGATTCCTAAAAAAATTATAGTCTAAATAATACAATTTTATATTTGTTTATATTTTAATTTTAAAATTGTGATTAAAGTAAAGCAATAGTGGTAAAAATATATTTAATAATTATCTCATAATTAATAATAATCACCTTTCTCTAAATGCGGTTTTGTTTAGGTTATTAATCATAATCGCTAGACTTTAAAGTCTCCGGAATATTCTGCTCTGACTACGTTGTAACGAAGTGACCCGTAAAACCGAAATTGTTACTCTCCAGCGTCGACGTATACTAACCGTATGAGGCAGGTGACCGCGAGCAGTATGAGCAGCGCGCCCAGCGCCGACAGTCCCCAGCCGAGGATGGCGCGCGCTAGCGGCGGCGCTTTGGTCGCTAGTCGGAGCAGTGACGTCACTTGGTCAGGTAACTCGTCGATGCCCTGTTATATGACATGACAAAATACTTAGGCCAGAACTGGTTTTGGCCATTTAAATAGGCCGGACATACTCACGCCGACAAGTCTCGTCGTGCCTTTTTTATGGTTATTTAACTGGACTATGGCAGAAGGTATGGTAACGCCACATGTTCTTGATATTAAACACAAAATATTTATAACTATTGTTTTGGATAAGGGATTAAGGAAGTTGTAATTTATCATCTTCCGGAACTTGATCAAAATCCTGTTTTATTTTATTACGAACCTCTTCATGCGGCATCAAAGTATGACGTAACTAAGTTATTATTAAAGAAAATGTAGAACGTACAACTGTATAATAATTTAGTGAATTTAACACCATTTTAATTATATGTAGGTAGGTATACTAACCTCTTCGAACCAAAGAATGGGGAACACGATGTCGGGGAAATTGGCGACCTGTTTGATATCCACCACCTGAGAAACGGCCAGGTTGATCTGTATGCGGGCACGCGCTCGCATCGCAATACCCATTTCCTATACAACAAAATATAATAAATATTTAATATATAACTCGGTGATTTAGTGGATAAGCTCGCGATTTATTTAGTGGATAAGCAACTTTTGCAAGGGTCGGTCACAGGATGGGTGACCAAAAAAAAATATATCTCGCGCTACACCGTACTTCGAAGGACACGTTAAACTTTATTCATTCATAAGCAAGCCCCTGCAGCGAGGACGTTAAAGAGCTGATGATGTTTAAATACTCGGAAATTACTGGACTAAATTCAAATATACTTTCACCTACGGGAAGAGATATCATACGCGGGTGACATAGATTATAATTTACGCTGACGAAGTCGCGGGAATTTAGCTAGTATGTCATATGTAAATACAATAACTTACCGGTTGTACGTCAATGAATAGTCTGTGCTTCTCTGGTTCTGGGGGAGAAATCCCCTCCACGGCTTCCCTGAAACTCGGATCGGCCAAGTAGAAGTGGGGGAACGACAGCATTATCGGCGAATCTGAATAGAAAAAAAAGGTATAAAAATGAATCGCTACATGTGTTTATAAGCACAAAAATCTAGGATCGTTCTCGTTTCATTTTTCGTTTGTTGAAGTCGATTGAAGTTGAAGAAGAAAGATGAGAAAAAAATAGTAAACAGCAGTGGCGTATTTACAGCAGGCCCTTGGTCCGGGCAGTCAAATATTAGAGGTGACATAAACTATTGTGTGACAATAGCTGAGTGATGAAATACCGTAGGCACTAGTAATTGTTCCTTCACTTGAGTACCTATCTAAAAAACGTGAAGAAACTAAATTCGTATGCAGTGTCTGAATATAAGACCTAAAAAAGGGCTTCTGGTCTGGGTGATGTTACATTCGTTATTTCAGATTTCCACAATATAAGGTCCTTACATATGAAATTGGTGTTTGGTATGGGAGGAACAAAAAGTCGCAAACAAAAAGAATATTTTTTAATATAATATATTTATTTAATCAAAGTATAAACCATTGTTATATATGCACTTTTGCCATCTCATAGGTACTTCACGGACAGGAATCAATAAAATCTTTGAAGGCGATTTACACTGCCCCATCTGAGTTGACTTTTTTCCCTTGCAAGAACTTATCCAAATTTCGAAAAAAATGATAATCTGTTGGAGCAAGCTCTTCTAATTTGGTAGCCGTCTGTTGTACAATATGTGGTCTAGCGTTGTCGTGAAGTAGCAGTGGCGTAGAGCGATTGACCAGCCTCGGTTGTTTAACAGCCTTTCCAGCATGGTTTGCTTCCGACTATCGTAGAGAATCCACTTTTCATTACAGGTAATGATTCGATTTAAAAACTCTTCATCATTGGGCACAAGTTGAAGCGCGTTTGCCGGTTTGCTTCACTCAATTCGTGAGGAACCCACCTTTCAAGCTTTTTAATCTGTCCAATTTGCTTCAAGTGGATTAAAACAGTTTTATCACTAACACCGCAGCTAACTCGGACGTGGTTTGCGATGGATCCGCTTCCATAATAGCCTTCAATTCTTCATTATTAACTTGAGTCTCCAGCCGTCCAAGGGGCTTGTTCTGCAGGTCGAAATTTCCAGAACGAAAACGTTGGAACCAAAAACCCACTGTGTTTTCTTTTGCGACACAACCGCCATACACATCATTAACTCTTCGAGCCGTTTCCGCAGTACCGGTACCACGGTAGAATTCGTACTCGTAAATAACACGATATTTCAATTTTTTCCATTTTTTATACCGGGTGACGTAAATAGGACAAACAGAAGAAAAAAAAACAAATGAATGCCGCCTAAAAAAAAATATAAAAAAAGTTGTCTACACCTATTGGTGTCAGATTTTCTAATACATATGCTCTATTTTTAGCTTTTATAACTTCTGACATTACAGAAGTCATAAAAATTATCGGATATCGGGTCATAATGAGTTATAAATGACAAACGCGCCTTGTGGCTTTCGTTCTTTCTGCTTACGCTGTAACGTATCTGCAGTGCTATTCTTAACAGTCTGAAACTCGTCGTCGAACGAAACGTTTTCAGAGAATAGAGGTTTTGGGGAATGCTACTTCAAAGGTAATAAAGGCTTTGTCATCAATGTTCTATGACGTGACTGCACTAAGCTCGACGACACGTACGATACTGTTTGTTTTACATAACAGCACAGCGGGCGTGAAACAGACAGTCAATTGTTTTTGTTTTTAAAGAATAGGGATGATGACATTTTTTTTCTCTGTCCGTCAAGTAGAGAATTATAAAGAATATAAAACACGTTTTTTTCGCGTAATAAATAAATTACGTCGATACATTGCGCTGGAATGTCGGTTGACGTCACACAATGTACATTTTATACATACTTATTTAGTACCAAGCGCCCTTTCCTCAACTTTAATGCTTATTATCATAGCGGTAGCTACCGCCGTTTCAATGAGACGGGCCCCCCGGGCTACCGGTCCCCAACGTGTATAAGTAAAATTTTCACCCTTCGTTAGGCCCCCAAATAATTTTGATACAGGCACCTTTAAAGCACGCTACAACACCGCCTATAACCACCTAAGCCATTTCTTATTAAATTGATATTTAAAAAATCCTTTGAGTTACCCAGAACTAGGGAATGCAATCTCGTCTTTAGATCTCGGCCTTTTTTAGCGAGATTGATCTCGGTCGAAAAATGGGCGAGATCTCGCCAATTTAACGAGATTGCACTCGAGCATAAAATTTTCTAATTTTCGATTTATTCTAAGTTCGGCAGCGCGAATTTATGCGATTCCGGGGTTTAAAAGGCGAAGCTTTACACTACTTGTTTTTTCGAAAGGGTCTTTTCGGTGGCTGTTTATCTGGCGAGCACAATAATAAGACGACTAGCAAAGATTCTTTGGACATTTTGTGCTTCTTAAGAAGATACTTTCAAAATTACTCGTAAAAATGACGTGTGAAATAAACTGAATAAGCCTTTCAATTGATTGGTATATTTTGTTATTTTGGTCTCTAATTTCTTATAGATCTCTGGGTACACATAGTTTTCTTTCATTGATAATAATCTCAGTTAAATAGTCAATTCAACTTAGTTAATGAATTTTTTTAAAGTTTTTGTATTTTTGTTACAAAAACTATGTATTATCCTCGTAATTAAACTTTTTTTAATTTGATATTAGCAGAGAAGACTGCTTGTTTATTTCATTTTGTATTTGATTAGATACGTCAAAGTTTAGTTTCTTAAAAGATTAGTACCTGGATGACTTAGCTTTACTTGGCACTTTTATAAAATAAAAAATTAACAATCCTTACTAACTAAATCGAATTATCGCCTCTGAAAGCCCCTGTATACTTAATATCATGAAAATTGTTGGAGCCGTTTCCGAAATTATAATACAGTTATTGCTCTTTTAAAGGTTTTAGATAAAAAAATATAATTGCGTCAACCAATGTTAAGTACATAAAATTTTATTGAAAATACCCTTAAAAAGTGTTGAATTTTTTTCTAATTTATTCTAATATTGTGAGTTGAATAAATATTGCAGTAAACACACAAAAGTGCCAATCTCGCAAGATATCGTCATTGGCGAGATCTCGAGGTATTGATATTCATAAACTCGAGAGATCTCGCCCGCGTCCCAATCTCGCGAGATGGCATTCCCTACCCAGAACCTAACAGGACTGGCGATTCCTATTATCTGACTGACCGACTAAGTTAAATTTCTTTTTTATTACCCAGGCACCATCCCCCATTGGCAGTGCACTCTTAACTTACCGTATTGGCACAAGGACACATTAAACAGTCCGTTCGGTGCACACGGTGGGCCGGCTGGGCAGAAGCACTTGTTGTGTTCGTCGTCAGCGAATACGTTCTCAGGGGGCGTGAATCTGTAACCTTCGACGCCGGCGGATGATTCCACATCACGAAGGTATCTTAAAAAAAAAAACAATAAACAGTTTCAAGATTTTAATAAAATTTCGTACAGAGATAGATTAGAGCTGGGGAAAGTAACTGCGCATATAACTTTTTATGGTGAAAAAAGGTGTTGAAGTAGGAAATGAAAGTTTTTATCTAAGTTCGACGTTAAAAGTAACTATAACATGCGAACTAAGTAGCGGGAAAACCTAGTGACGTATAAATAATATAATATCTTCAGTTCTATCAAATACTTAAGTATTAATTATTTAAGTATTTGATAGTGATATATATATAATGATATATATATATATATATATATATATATATAACTGATAGAATCTGCTTAAAAAGGCTATAAATGTTTTATTTAATTGAACCTCTAGAGCTCCAACGGCGCGGTGTTCTAACAGAGTACTGAAGCTGCAGAGCGATTCTGCAAAAATCAATCCGAAACAAAAAGTAACCCGAATTGGAATTCACTTAGGTGTTCATATTCACTTCGAAAGCGAATCCGCGAAAACTTATGTGAGCATAGAAATTCTATTGATTCCATTTTTTGTATAAAAATACACACCAAGATTGATTTGACACATAGTGTCTAGAATATTCACATAGTGTCTCAGATATTTTATCCCTATGTCATTTCTAAACTCACTTCACTTATGCTACGAATATAACCTTAAATTTGGCAATACCAATTTAAGGTTAAGCGCATTCGGATTCGGAAATCACGGAATCGCTCTGCTGGTCTAAAAGTTCCCAGATTCCTTTAAATGAAATACTCATTATAACCGTTCGTAATTGTTTATCGAGACGTAATGCAGTTCAGTTCACATGACAACAATGGGCGACCGTCGACATTATGCAACGTGAATCGTTACGCGAAAACGGTATAATTAGAGAATGGCGCTTAAATAGATACCTCGTAGGTTAACTTTGAACATTATTAGGGTCGGCACAAATCGACTCGCAAATCTACAATGCTAATGTTTACGTAATAATAGGATCCTATTAGAATCTCAACAACTTGCGTTTTACCTTTGTCCAATATTATTAATGCAATGTCTTCTTCACACATCAACGGTGACAGATATGTAATATTAGACTTCACGTAGATAGCACAATGGCAAAATGTATTTAGATTCTAATGGGATGCGATTATTACGCAAACATTATTAGAATTGGTCTGCAAGTATAATCGTCGAATGTCTCACGGAAGTATGCGCTATAATACGCGATAGAATTTCCGTAAAGGGTTTAAAATGTAGTAATAAATAAATAAATAAATAAATAAATAAATAAATATAGAACAATAATTATTAAAATATGTTATCAAATTGAATATTGCCGCTATCTGCCGTCAATCAAAAACAATTAAATAGTGATGATCAACAGTAAAGAGTCCTAACTCTTAGCTCGTCCCAGTAGCGTACCTCCTAAGATACACTACTGGTTCAGTATTAATTCACTGTTATAGCACTATTGTTCGATTTAACAAGAATCATAACACACTGTTCGCTACGTGCGTACAGCGTGTTGTGATTAAGATTCTTGTTAAATCCACCAATCAAATAGCAGTATTTTATTGCTCAGTTCAGATACGACGCGATAAACTGTCATTCGATATTCTGTTAATTCGAGCAGGTCCAGGTCTACAGGTTAATAGGGGGGGGGGAATCAAGTGTCCGGGCGCTAAAAATCCTACTATACTTTATAATAGTTACTTACAGACCCTTCCTACAGACCCTCCAATATACATTGACCCAGTGTAGAGGGTCATGGCCCATCCTCCTTAACCATAAGGAAGGCTTTTGCCCCTGTAGTGGGGGCGTGGGGACAAAAACGCCTCTTGGAGAGTACATAGGGAGTGGGGGTGGGGGGGTAGAAAAAAAGCGTACGTAATATAAAATATTTTCAATCGAGTAAACTTAAAATCAAGTCGTCTTTAAAATTGATTTTATCGCATATTGGAAAATAGTAGAAACCCAACTAGGTATGTTATTAACTAGGTATAGATAAAATTCCAACTTGTGGTAAATCACGTTAAAAAAAGATTAGTGTGCGTGATTATAAAGTGACAAAGAGACGTCATTAGTCCTACGTCATTTCCTATGGCAACCCTTGATGCTACTCTAATCTGTTTACAAATAGAGACACATAACTTTGGTTAATTCAGCTCGAAGAACCATTTGTGACAATAACGAACTACCCATTAACATTATACACCTCTAAATCATTCCTTCGACTTTGAATTCTATTGAAAATGTATTAAGACTAGTCAATGAGAAAAAATAGGACTAGATGATGGCGTATTATGCGAAACAAAGCGTCAAAAACTATACTTATATTGTTTAAATATATTACTGGCAAAACATTGTTGATTAGCTCGGTGGTGTAGAGGATAAACGCCTCGGCCCGAGATTATAATAATTAAGGAACTTTCGAAAAGTTCGGTTACGGGATGGCTGACCGAAAAATTATCATCGCCGTATTTCGGAAGGCATGTTAAGCCGTTGGTCACGGCCGCATTTGTAGTCGTAAATACCCTCCAATCCGCATTGGGCAAGCGTGGAGGGTTGGTCATGGTCCTTCCTCCTTAACCATCTATAAGGAAGGCCTGAGTTCCTGCAATGGCAACGTAAAAACATTTTTGCAATCCTCGATTACAAAGTAACTTCTACATTTATCAATCTTCAACATCAAAAAGATTAAAATTAATGAATTTCATTATAATATGTAAGTAATCAGCTTGTTAATTTATTTCTATCGACTTAAAACCCAGTTTTCCCGACTTCGTCGTCTAAATACCTTTGTGATATGTATTGGAACTTGCAACAGTCTGATGGGTCGTTGCAAGATGAATGTCCTGTTACTTATGTGATAAACAAATATTAATATAATACAAAATCACTCACTGCAACGGCAGTAGTCTGCACAAGTCTTTGTCGTATACGCCCAGCGTGTCGTTCCTGGTGATGTGTGGGGGGAATATGGAGCCGTCAGAGCCGGCGATGCTGTTGCATTGGTCCGTGGTCCAATGTGGCAGGCGGTCGCGGAAATTGTAACGTTCCACGATACCGTACTTTGTCATATCTAGTGCGCCCGTGAACATTGTGACGGGATCCGGAGAGGTACCATTTTTCTGAAAAAAATTAGTATCTCTTTTACAAAACAAGTTGTCAGAATAATTTAAAAAATAATAACATACTACTGGGGGGGTCTTAATATGAACATTGTATTTTTAATGTCCCTACAAAAATAATTTTGATAATTTGAACATTATTTCGATTGGTATTTTTAGGATTCAGTACTTCGAAAGGAAAAAATGGAACCCTTATAGGATCACTTTGTTGTCAGTCTTTTATTTAAGAGCCTTTTGGTCAGGAAAGCGTGGAGGTATCAAGCCTACCTAGGCCTACTGTGCCTCGGGAGTTGTAAAAAAAATCAAACTTCAAAAAATTAAATCTGCAGTTGTTTATGCCGCAAATTTTCGAAACTCGCTCGGGAATTAAACCTATAGGGCACTTACCTTGAATTCAGAATCTTGATATTACCTACTATAGAACACGTAATATAAATATTTTTAATATACCTACCTACATATAAAACAGTGTAGGATTTAATATAGTCATATCTATAATGAGATTTCGTTTCGCTATAAGACTCTTGATTACTCTGACCGGCATAAAAATCTGGTCGTTTAATAAGAAATTGTTATTATACTTGCATGAAGATCTGTCTATAGAAAACAAATCTTTGAAAAAAGTAACTATCAAATGAAATTATAAATACAACTTTTTGTAATAAAAAATACACTTTGGAATGTGCTTTTAATATAGCTTTGCGGAGAGGCGTCAAGCAGCGCGTGGGAAATAATAAAAAAACAAGTTTTGATAAAGGTTACTCACTCCATAAAATAGTCCAAACTCTTCGTAAGGTAATTTCTGTTCTTTGGGAACTACGTCTTTGGCCAGCTTGAGCAGCGGGTCCTCGTAGCCCCACAGCAGCTGGCCCACTGACACCTCCACGAATGGTTTAATCTTCAATATATCCATGATGGAAGCCATCGCTAGGCGGAGGAACCGCGCCGCGTGTTTCGATTGTGAGGTTGCGCTCTGTGAAACAAGAAAATAAGTTATATAAAACAAAAGTCTAAACTCGCGTCAGTTACACCATATGTTACACGAGAACGGCTAAACCGATTTTTATTATTTTTCATTAATTAGATACCTCTGCATCTAGAACATCAGAATAATCTATTTACAACAGAAATATTTCAAGATATAAAAGTTTATTTTTGTGGTATTAATTATAGTATGTATGATAATTATGTACTCGTATGTATGTTTATATCATGTACATTTATGACACCATAGACTACCTAATTTAGATTTAAATTAAAATTTTCCAAACGGTAACGGTTGCCTGGAAGAAATTGCTTCTTAGCGATAAGGCCGCCGATTGTACTATTTGTTTTATATTATTGTTACCTATAATTGGTGTTTTTGTACAATAAAGAATTATTCTATTCTATTTTATTCTATTCTATTCTAAAGTATACAGACTGATTCAAGAGGAAGGTTTATGTCTAATACATAGGCGCTTACGCAAAGCTAACGCAAAGCTAGTTATTAATATTTGAAAAATAATGAGTGACGAAACTGATGACGTTAGGGTATTTTAAATTTACTTTTAATTTAATGGTCATTATCTAACAAGGTTATAATCATTGTCATATGGTACGTGTAAGAAACATTCGAGGTTATGACATTTTTGCGCACGAAAAATGTAGGAACAAATAAAGAGAGACATACATGACTTAAAATCTCAATACGGAGCACTGATTTCATTGTGAACACATCAATATTAAAACATGTTTTAACGTATGTGATAACATTAATTTTGTATAATTATGATATAAAAATAGTAAACCAAAGGTTACTGTATATATTAAAAGTCGATGTCATTGTGAACAGGAAGCAATGAGACGAAGCTATACTCGTTCACCTCAATAATACACCTTGACCGCGAACATACAATTGAAGGCACTTATGCGTGTTGGTACAATTTAATTATAATAAATATGTATTGAACAAAATTACGTGACGTCGGTTAAGGAAACTCCATTAGCCACTCATCTGTTGAATTTAGCATCTATTAAGTTGATCGCATCCCTATCATGGAGGCGCACGAAACGAATATTCTTTACACCTTGCAAATCAATGACATATGATATTAGAAGTTTGACGATTTGGCGCGAACATGTAAGATGGATCTTAAGTTTGTATACACAAAGAATTCTAAAATTAGTTTCTTTCCTCTCCTACCAGCTCCTAAGGCGCATCCCTCTCATAGATGCGCGATCACCATTTGCTAATGCTAACGTAATAATGGCATCTTAATGATAGATTAAAACACTATTGACGTGCAAAATTACGGCTCAAATATCATGGATATCATATTAAATAACTTTTAAAGGAACTGTCAAGGAGAATTTTAACATATTGTAATAAAACCTTACGTTGATTCTCTTCTTGAAATCCGCAGCCTCGTAAATAACATAATACCATATGATACGTATCCGTCGATATTTAAATGACATCATGGAAAATTCGCTTTATGATAATTGCTTCACCCGTGTACAGTTCGGGTCAATTATGGCGACGGAAGATATATTACTACGATGGAAAACGCATGAAAAAAACTAAACAATGACTCCCATAAAATTACTTTCATTTTTAACTTTCGGTTTTCTTAATTTTAATTGTCTTCTTAAGTTACTTTTCCTGTAAAACCTTATTCGGATTACTGACGAACACAGAAAATACTAGATCTGCCCTATAATTATGTAAAAATCCGAAGCCGAATTCGAATTCATGTATCCGAATCGACGTCATTTAGTGAAGAAATTCTATAGATTCCATTTTTCGTATAAAAATACAAAACAAAATTGATTGATTATACGAGCCTCAGATATTCAATTCAATGTTATTACGAAACTTACTTCGCTTTTGCCATGTAACGTTAACTAAATTAAGATTGAGCGAATGCCGCTTCTTGAAGTGAATTCTGTCACCAAAGTTTATTCAAATTTGGGTTTGGATTTTTACAAAATCACAGGGCTGTTCTGAATCTCAAAGTTTACTCAGAATAGACACGAATGAACGAAGAATTAATGGCACAATTTTGTTCAAAAGGAAAAAAAGTTAAAAAAAGCAACAATTGGTATCTTTCTTTATTTAAAGGTAGATAAGGCTATGTTATATATACTGTAATTTAATCAGTTTCGAACCTGACGTCGAGCACAGTGCTGTCAGAGCATAGAGGTTCAATGAAATAAAACTATTTTTTTTATTAAGTTTTAGATTTAAAAAAATTACAATGTTATAAATTCGAATGATTATTCGTATTTTAAATTGTATATGTATTTAAACTTAGCTGTAGATAATTTAGAGTCTGACACAAAATTTTCCAATAATAATATCTATACAGATAATTTTAAGATCTGACTTCGTTATCATTTGATTTAATTGCTTGTATAATCTAGAATTTATAAATAATTAAGTATATTTATTTAACTTTTTTTACAGTAACTGATTAGCAAGTATACAAAAACTAATACAAGTTTGTTCACATACCGCTCATTCACTATCGCTGCACTTTAATTTATTCCATCTAGTATCAATAAAATTAAAGGTAATATTGGGTACATGAATAAACACACCGCTGTCACCGCTGTGTTGTTTTGTTAGGACTTAGTAGTTAAGAATGTCCCGAGTATATACAGCGTGCGTTTGATGCAAATGGGAGTTAATGTATATAAATAAGATAAAGTTGACAAATTATCCATGTAAACCGGATAGTACATTAGGTTGACTATTCATTAATAATATTTCAATAAAAAGGTACATATATAATAAGATAAGATGATATAATAAGACCAAAAAATTATTATCTCGAGCTACTCCGTACTCCGTGCTTCGGAAGGCACGTTAAGCCGTTGGTCCCGCTGCATTTGCAGTCGTTAATACCCTCCAATCCGCATTGGGCCAGCGTGGAGGGTCATGGCCCATCCTCCTTAACCATCCATAAGGAAGGCCTGAGCCCCTGCAGTGGGGACGTAAAAGGGCTGGTGATGAAATAATAAGATTCCGGTATATTATCGGTTTTCTGCCTTTTCGCCGAAAATTGTTTGGCTGATTATCATTTACCAACTAACGTTTCGTAGAATTTTATTTCGCCGAATAATTATTTGCCAACTTATCATAAAATCTTGTTTTATTTCCTAACCTCAGTGTCCGTGTCGTGTGCTTTTTATAATGACACTTTTAAAAAACCAAATTTCAAGTAGCAAATCTTTCCGTCAGTGTAATTTTCACTAAGTTGTTTGCCAAATATCGTATTAGTTAAGTCTATTCTGGTGAGCGCAGTCAACCTAACACGCTCCTCCTCTCTTTCTTCATTGTCACACCTAATTTCACTATTAATGTGACCTAAACTAATCTAACTGTTGCTTTGTTTCTAGCATTTCGCCGACCGCTGCCGCGGTACGCTCGCTTGGTTCGCTCGGTTTGTGCGTTGTTTTATCATATACTAACATAACCTAAACTTTATGTTTTTGCTGCTATACTTATTGCAAAATTCTTGAACACAAATCTACATACTCAGAGGAAAAAAAAAATGACAAATCATCAATGTTGTGCGTCTAAAACTTGTGTGGCCTAGTGAAGGTTAGACAAATGATAAATATCCCTAATGTCATGTGTAATTTTTTGTCATAATAATAATCACTTTAACGATAATTCTAAAGAATGAAATGTTATCACACAAAACTTTGCTAATCGTTAATTGTCAAAGTGAAACATAGGCGAAACATTGGATGGCAAGTGATAAACGGCCAAATAACTTTCGGCGTAAGGCATTATCCCAATATTATCAATGTTTGTGAACTGAATAAATAAAAAAAAAAATAGATTGAACCTCTATGCTGTGATAGCGTTGTGATCAACGCTGATTTTATTACAGAATAACATCGCAGGGCGTCAGTTACGTAGTAGAGTAGAGCCTATGTAGAGTCATAAAGTCTTAATGAATAACTTCATAGTTTTATTTTTTATTTCATTAATCAATGCGCTCTTCTAGATTCTTTACATCATGTACGTAACGGTGCTTTATGTTAATTTGGTGGACCGCTACTTAACAGACCGTGTGTGGGCGCAGCCACTCACCTGTTACAAAATGATATGGTGTTATTAATATTTTTGCATTACGGTAAAAGGAATATTATTTCAACGATTCACAAATAAAGAGGAAATATATTTAAATATTTCCTGGTTATTTTTTAAAAGTGCTTATCTAATGTAAAAACTGCGCCATCGTGTCTTTATTTTAGTCTTCTATTACTAAGAAAATAAGCTCAGCATGCGTTGCAAACCTTTTTTTCTTTAAAGTATATTTGTTTCATAAAGGTACAGAACGGAAAATGAAAAATTATTTCATTAGATTATGGAGTCACCTTAAATTGCATTAATGGAAAAACACACTCATACACATTTTTTTTATTATTTAATTAAGATGCAAACAAATTTTGTTCTCTGCTACAGATGTTGTACCGATAGCATACCTACTGTATAAACAAATAGAACGAGATAAAAAAAAATAAGTAAGTACCAACATCAGCAGGCGTAATTAATTCTGCTCGTTTGAAAAAAAAAAACGACTGATTGCTTAATTATTAGAAAAGATTTTTACAGCTTCCAAAATTGGAGAAAAACTGTTTTTTTTTTGGGAATTGTCTATATATTGTCTGTCTATGTCTGAAGAATTAGTTATCAAAATATTATATAATACACAAAGTTATTACAGAAGTCCTTGATACGTGACGACGTACGTACTTTGTGATTTATATTGATACGTTCAATGTATGAAACGGTATAATAGAGGGTATAATAGTGGTCTTACAATAAAAAAATAGCTATATTATAGTATATTAATAAACGGATACACTGTCCTAGGTACTTGTGATGTCTTAAATAGGAAATAAATAGGTACTCTTTATTGCACAACAGGAAAATGAAATGGACATATACATAAATAATTACACAATTATCGTATA